TTATATAAACAGATGTACATACCTCTCTTTTGAATCCATCCTACTTTTACTATGGTGGCATCAGAGCTTGGCTGGCTACTGGTTGACATTGTCTAGTTTAAACAGATAAAAAAAGGACTGTTGAGAGTTCTTGAATATTATCTAAGGAATAGTTTGCTGATACCAACACTTTTGAAAACCCTGACAAAATATGGTTTATCAATAGTACTGCACAAAGAAGTATATTTTATAGGGCTTTATAAGATGTTCAGAGAAATGCTTGAGCTGTGATTGGTCAGAACTAGTAAATTATATTTTCATAAATCACGCGCCTTACATCATGAGTGCACTGTTGAGATATAGTGCATGCAGCCTACATCATCAGTGCGAGCGCATGCAATTCACAATATATTTTATAAAAGAAATAAAAAAAACTTGTTCCTCAAGCATTGTTGATTTATATAAGCACTTGGGAATTTTTAGGAACACTTGAGAAGTGCGAGAAGCACTTACCTTTGGCTTGTGCTTCTCCACTCCTCCCTCTTGTTTTTAAAAATTCCCGCGTGCTTGTAAAACTCAACAATGTACTAAGTATGTTTGTTACTTCTTTAATAATTTGTTTTACATTAAGTGCATATCTTTTAATCCCCATGCTAACCACTAGTATTGATAATAGGTTATATCCTCTGGATGCCATTAAATGAAATATCCTTAGAAGATATGAACAGTTTGTCTTAAGAATTTTCCACAAAGTCCAATACAAAGTAGAACAATACAAAAATTTACGTCAAGGAAATAATGCTGTCATGGTAATATCAATGAGATTTCATTAAATCAAGCTTTATGTTACAAATATAACCTAGTGAAAACAAATTATAAAAACTTTACTTGGCAATAATAGAAGTTATATTCCTAATAATCTCAAAGCTATACCAAGAAATAATGAATTTTGATACATCTTCAAAATTACAGTTCTAATTGAATTTGAATGTTAATGTTAGTTTAAAATGCTTATGAAAATATATCAAAGTTTAATTAGGGAGGTTCCTTCTTTGTCTCCCACTTACTATGGAAATAATTTTAGACACAATTCTCATTCGAAGACAATAACGATAAAAATTGGCAAGCCAGTGGCCCGAAAAAGTTTCTGTAACCCGTCCCTACAGTTACGGTTTGTTTGAATCAATTATTATATTAAACTGCGTTCCTTATCAATAGCATTGTCTTATAAATTCTTGTAACAGGTACCGAGGATTGTCCCAAAAACAGCTGTTTACAAATACGAGAAGACAGAGTTTTTGACCTTCGGTTAGACGGTTACCGACTAAGATGATTAAGATACAAAAATAAGTCGATCAACTGCTCAAATCGACCGCAGTATACACGTACAGGTTGTTTCTTTTATTCACGATTCACGTTCGCGTATAAATATTAACATTGGCTTTCGGAGAGTAATAATTTCATTTCCATTTTTCTAGAGGAACTCTGTAGGTAAGAACGAAAATGAAATAACCATATGCAAAATCGATCTACGTGGAACCAGGTGGATGCTGAGTCGTTTGTTGGATCAAGAAAACTGAATGTCAAATTTCACGAAGTGAAATTCACTCAGGTCTCGAGTAATTAACTGATCTAAAAGTTAACATCTCAAAGCTGCGATGTTTTATAATATGTTTATTGTAGATTCTATGCAGCTGAATAAATAATGAAAATTGTAAAAGAAAGGATATTATGCAGCCATTCAAGAACTAAATTACCGCCCCCACAAATTTACATATAGGCCAGTCGCACTAAACAACTCTTCCGAAGCAACGTTGTTTAAACGGAAGCTATAAGAGCTACCTTCGTGCTAATAACACAAAACGAACTTAACTTCAACTGAGACATTATATAAATGAAAGATTCAAATTGACCGATATTCCATTAAACGCCGACACTTTAGGGGCCGTAAGGAGAAGCACAACCGAGACATTTGAAGACATTCCGATGGACCTATTACAAAGCGACCTCTGCGGAAAATTCACGTATTTGAGCGAAGGTCACAAATTTTCTTCCTAATCTAGTTACGATCTAACCTGAAGGATGATGAGATTCGCAAGTACTCAGCACAAGAAACAGTTTGATGACTTACTTGTTTGTTATTCTAGGAGAATCCGAACAATATCAACGAACAACAGGATAACCTTCAGCACTGCAACAGCACCGAAACAGATTGAGCCTGAATCCTACGGCTATGGAACGCCCGAGGAGCACTAGTGACGAGTTTCCAAGTCGGGTGATCACCAGCTGTTCTAAGATGGCGGACTATTCCAACAACACCATTTAATTTGCGATTTACCAACAATATAGCGACGTGACTGAACCAAACATAAACATTGTTACATAATTTAGACATGAAGAATGCATTTTAGAGGTTAAATCAAGGAAATTTCGCTAAATTTTGTATGCGTATTTCCTTCATCCTCGTCGATCTTAAGTTTCTTGTTCAGCAGAGTTTTAGGTTAAGGACCTACGCTCGCAAGGGTAAACAAAACTTGTGAATAGAACCGCTACTATGATGCCCTTTTCATAGTGCTACTGGTTGGAAATATTCTCAGACTGCCAATTTTTACCATGGTTTTCTCTTCTTGTCACTTTTTTTGCATTCCACATTAGTCTTACACTCCTTGGAATCACTTTGTTCATGAATACATTAACATTTAGTCTTTTTTTTGTTTAGTCTTGTACCTCTAGCTGGCAGGATCTTGGGAGGCTTTGAACGAAGATAGTAGAGGTACAGCGAAATTCGATCAGAAGATCAGTACCCAGGCCCCGTTATGAGCTTCACTGAGTCACGCAACGATGCACGACGCAGCCTTTTTATTGCGTAACAAGTTAGAAGAGATTAGAATCACTGTAGACATATCTTGATCTTTCTTCATTAGACAGAAGGAAATTTCTTTTACAGCTCTAAACAATATAAGCCTGCAACAGTGAAGAATTCAAGTGAGAAAATTTAGATCAAAAAAATAAATAGATGTCTAGTCCCCAATTAGAGAATGAACTTCCTTGTCCCCTGTACTTAAAGTTTGTTAATCTCCCCATAAAATGAAAATCTGAAAGTTTTTCTTACATAGAAAAATTAATGAAATCTTATTTACATCGAAAATGCCAACATTTTTGTTCAAGGTTAGATGTGTCCACCTTTGGCCTTTTTTTGTTGTTCTAAAACATTTTCAGATTGTTGGAAGAGCTTGAGATTCAAAAGAAAAATCAATAAAAAGTCAGGGGTGGCAAAGGGGTTATGTTCCATAATAAATATCACTATTTTTCAGACTCCGCCCTAATGCCATCCCAGAACAACTGCCAAGGAACCCTAGTGGATCCATCTTAACTCCATCAAGCTTGATTCTTTAAAAATCCCTTCTTTTCAGTTAGTTTGACATTTATAAGTCATTTCAGTAAACAACAAATATGTATTTTTGGAAGCAATTTTTTCATTCAGGTTAAATATTGGGCAAGATCTCTTTTAATTAATAAGGGGTAATGATCAGCTGAGATTTTCAGCAGCTGTGAAAATTGGTTCCTCTAAGTAGTGGCAAAGCAGGGTTCTCAGCTGCAATTTGCATGTCTTGTCCCTTCCACAGATAAATCTCACAATTACAGTGACTCCCTCATAAAATTTTTTACACCATCAAAAACTGCATGGCTGAATGTACTTACTATCACACCAAGACACAGGAAAATATCTATTAACCAATGGGTTATTCATAGCTATCAATGATTTTTCAATACTTCCATAGATTGTCTGAGGTGTAAAATTTTGCTCAATTCTCCACAACACTGATCATTATAAACCATCAGAGGTACTTTTACCTTCAATACCAAACAGAATCTGAAATATATAACCTAGATCATGCTGATCTAAGTAATGTCGGAACTGTCCCATGTCCATATGATTTTCTCTAGTACCATGAATTTCAAAAAAAAGTTCATCAAATCCAGTAAATTTCCTTTGTTCATTAACACTCTTGTCAGCTGTTCCCTTTTCCCTATGTCTACAGGTTATTTTTTTCCAGTTAAGGCGACGCAAGCGACTAAAGTATTCTTCAACATTGTACTCGTCTCCTTCCAAACAAACAACTCCTGGTTTCCCTGGCAGGCAAAAACCAGTGAGATTGTAGTCTGAAGCCCATTGGAGGATATCCTTTCGCTTTGTTTTACTGTAAATGTGATGCATGTACAACCACATTCTCAAGAATGATGTGTCCTTTTTACTCTTACACCTGCTCGTGTCTTCATTTTTTTCTGTGAGAGGAAATGATCGTAAATCTTTATTTTTTGCAATGTATAATTCTCCATTGTCTTTGACCCATTGTATGGTTGGCAACGTGCAAAGTTCTCCGCGATCAAGCGTTGATATGTGCACATTCAAGTCATCGTTCAACTCTTTCTGTATTTCTCGGTTCAGGGTCTGAGATCTGGCAAAAATCTCCGGTTTTTCATCAGGGTATTCTTGAGGAAAATAGCAAGATAATTCGATCAAATACCTTTCTGAATCACAGTCTACAGTTACGGTCAACAAAAAGTTCAGACCATTTGGTGTCTTATTTGTTCTCCTAGAACAAAATTCTTGAATATCTATGAGCACTTGGTCGTCTATTTTAAGTTCGTTCTCTTCAGGATACATAGATCGAAGCATCTCAACCTCTGAAAGTTGTAATTCTAAATTTTCACGTACATCCTCTACCACGTTGGCAGCCATTGCCTCTCATGTATACACTTTACGTCAATTACATGACATAATTTATACCTTTGGTATGAGAGAACCGCAGGCTCAGAAAGATGTTGTTATTGGAGAGATAGACGAGAGTGAATTCACTGACAAAATCTCTATCTCGAGTAGTATTTCATTTTTACTGTTTTAAAATGCTGCGGAAAGGAACAGAGAAAAGAATGGGTTCGAAGATACTGTGGCGTTGAAATCATCATGGAGGATTCGAATGATGATGTCACCCTTACTTCGTTTCGTCCAATCAGTCCAGAAAATTCCAAAACGGGTTTTTCTTTAGCTCGATTTTTTCAGAGAAAACGTCATGATGCAAGAGTGGAAGGCAAGGTTAATGCAGCAAAGAGCCAACGTCTAGCCAGCCCTCTGACAAGTCCTCGAAGCTCTCCTAAACTACAGAAGCGAACGAAAAGTCCAGAGCCGTTGTACCGATCATGGTCATCAGCTTTGCCATTGGTCGGTCACAGGACCAGCGCGCACAGCACGTCTGTACCCGCGCGGCGTGTCTCGCCTGGTTACCGCAACGTGCACGCCGTGCTTGGCCGTTTAAATGCGGCAGCAGGCGAGAGAGGACAGGTAAGGCTCGTTTTTTTTAGTTAAATCGTGTAATACGTCCACTTGGTAAAATTTCTGCACAGCCCCATACTATTGTAAAACAAATCTGTTTTCCCAGTGGCAATGTATTGTTTTTGTCATTGTTTTCTCTATTCGAGAACTGAATGCATAATGTAGTAAGGAGCTGTGCGGAAATTTTACCTGTCCTCCTTTTGATTAATGATCAGTGGTAACGATGGGTTATGGCAAAAGGAGGGGGGCATTTTCAGTTTTGGCTATTTTGTAAGGTCGGTTTTTGTGTGAAAAACCTTGGTTTTTCGGTTTTGGTGTTCATTGTGGTTTACGGATTTTCCATTTTTTAGCATTTGGTTTTTGGTTTTCATGAAAAATACTAACGGGTTTTCAGTTTTGATATCCAATATGATTCTTGGTTTTTCCTATTTGACCTACTTTATTTGGGTTTTTGTTTCTCCTCGATCTGAGCAGCAATTACACACCTCCACTGATCTTGCTAGATGCAAATGTTATTGAGAGGAATGCGTGACAAACCAATTGAAATATTGCAGGGATCCCTAGGGGGTTCACGCGTCTTGAATGACACCCAAGACTTTGATCATCTATAGGGTTTCACGCGCCTTGAATGACACCAAGACTTTGACCTTGTTGAGCACTTAGGTCAAGGTTGATCAATATGTGAACCATGTCTTCCAACATGCCAAACACACTGGTCATGGAAGAAGGTCAATTGTGGATTGTGTTGTGTTTATGAAGATGGGAAAGGTGGCAAGAATTTCAGAGAGAAAAACAGGTTTAGATGCAAAGTAAAAATTGCAATCCTATAGAGGACTTTGGTGCAAATTTGTGAACTTTTCAATAATGCATTTTGGTGACTTTTTCGCCTAATTTTTCATTCCAATCCCGAAGAATTGACCCTTTTACTCCATAGATGCTAATGTTGATTGTGGGAATTGTCTTATAGATTTCTTACAATTTTGGCCTTAAGAAATTGGTTTCAAATAAACTGATAGTTTCTAACTCTAATGCCTAAAACAACAGTTTAATAACTCACAATGTCTTTCTTTAAGCTGCGACAAGAGTATAAAGAGAGTGATTTCAAGCAATATTGGATGCCAGATGACCACTGTAAAGAATGTTATGAGTGTGGTGAAAAGTTCAACACTTTTCGTCGTCGGCATCATTGCCGTCTTTGTGGCCAGATATTCTGCTACAGGTGTTGTTATCTGGAGATTCCAGGGGTGATCATGGGTTACAATGGTAAAAAGAAGTTTATTGAGTCTTGATTTAATGTTTATTTAATGAAAGAGTGATCTAAGGTAAAGCAAAAGCCAAAATTCTAGTTTTGACTTGGAAAACAGTGAATGAAGACCTACTTTGTGGAAGTAACACACCCAAATTCAATTTATGGTATTATGTATCAGTGATCATTCAAATTTTATATATGATAGCAAACCACAGAGCCAAATGGTTCTCTGTTATTTATTAAACCTTTAACTCCCATAGTGACCAAGAAAGAATTTCTCCTTAGTTACAATATCAATCAGATAAGTGATGAGAATAAAGAAAAAGATCAATTTGGGGATAATTAGTTGATTCAATACTAAATTGTTTGAACTAACATTGTAAGAACTATATGGTTGACAGTAAGGAGAATTACAAATTTGATCTGGAAGTTAAAGGATTAAGAGGAGCATCTGATTGTAAAATCTGAAGGTCTGAGGGTTTAATACAGTATTGGGACTCTATCCCATGTGCCTGGCAAATAAATAATAAATGTAGCTGTTATTATTTGACAATTGAGCTCACATGACGTCATCTTTCCTATATTGATTTTTTAATGGTATAGTTTTTAACCCTTTAACATTCAGATCAAATTTGTCATTCTCCTTACTGTAACCATACAGTTCTTATACTGTTAGTTCAGAGAATTTAGTATTGGATCAACTAATTATCCCCAAATTGATATTTTTCTTTATTCTCACCACTTGTCTGCTTGATATTGTATTGATACTGTAAGGAGAAATTCTATTTCAGTCACTTATGGGAGTTTAAGGGTTAATCATGTAAGACTCAAGTAACAATCAACTTAGTTTCCTCACACACCTCTTGTTACAGGGCGGAAATTGCACCTAATACAGGCACCAATGTGACTAAATTTTTCTCTTTAGCAACCAAATCCTGAAAATTAGTTGCCAAATTGGTGACTAGAATGCTTCATCATAACCTTACCTAGAGATATAGTGAGTTAAAAAGATTTGAAAACTTAAGATAAATCTGCGGCAAACTTCCTTGTTAAGTTTGTTTCCAAAACTCAGCATGGGCATCTCGATGGATGATTAGATGCCATCTTGGATCTAGGTGAACTTGAATGTTGTATATCATCCATTCTAGTGTCCACTTTGTGACATGTAAAAGATCTTTTTCCTAACTTAATTCTGGAGGGTTTATCTAGAATGCTGACAGCAGGAAAAAAAGGTTTTGTTTGTCTTTAAAAATAGTGACCAACTATTTTTGAATTGGCCGCCACTTTGAAAATTTAGGAACCAAGTTGCTGTTAGAAAAAAAATTAATTTCACACCCTGTTGTAGAGGGTGATGCAGTTGCCAATATTTTAAGTAGCTATGCCTCTGATGATTTTAATTAGCCCTTTAGTCTAGGAATGATATTATGTTGTTCTTTATGCCAGGGTTTTTAAGGGTGTGTATTTACTGTCACAATGTTGTGCATCACTACACCCAGTCATCTGATTTAAATGCGGTGCGGAACCTGGAACAGCTACAGGCTGACGTGGGTGCTATCAGTTCTGATCCAGATCTCAGTGCCAGTAACAGCAGCAACATGAACTTGAATGTTCCTAAGGGCTATCCCTTTGATTTTGATGATGATGAGAACTTCTGTGGTCCACCAACCCTTAGGAAAATCAGCAGCTCAAGTGGGACAGGGATGAGTTCTTACTATGAGAAGCTGGAACCAAAAGATAGGCCATCACCCATGCCAGGAAGGAGACCTTTTGATGCATTTGGAGTATGTGCAGCAGAGGCTGACATGTTGAAGCAGGTTAGTGGTAGCTTGTTGGATGGCGACTTCTCATACAATGTACTTGTAGCATGAAAATTTAGGAACCTGTTTGTGTAGATCTTTGACCATCTACAAAAAAACTTGCAATATTTGCAAAAACCTGTAAAATTTTCAGCTTAGATGGCTGCAGACCTGTAAATTGGACATTGGAATAATACATGGTAACCAATCAATAAATGTTATTTTAAAATTGTGTTTTGGGGGCAGAACATCATGAACAGTTACCTGCACCCTTTGATCTGGTCTCAAGTTTCCATCAGTTGACACATGTAGTGGCCTTACAGTCAGTGTGCTGGATGGCAGGTTTAGAGGTCTGGGTACAAGACCTGGTCAGGCCATTGTGTTATATTCGTAGGCAAAATACCTCACCTTCACAGTGTCTCTGTCATGGGCCCAAGGGCAATTAAGGATCAAGTTCATGCCTATTTTCAAAGTCACAACAAGGGCAATTTTAGGAAAACTTTGAAAATAAAAGTGAAACTAATCCTTAATTGCCTGAGGGCACTTGCAATTACTTGTTTATCACAAACAGAGCAAAATTTTTAGGGAATTGCATTCACGCATGACAACCATGAGATAAAGCCCTTTCAATGCCGCTGCAAATGTCCAAACAAACTTAACTGACCAACAGATTCAATGAACATTTTATTCTCAAAATACAGTGAACAATGTTACACAACTTCATTTAGATAACTTGCAATCAAAAAATTGTTGCTGCAAACAGCAAAAAGGCTCATCAGTAATCATGCCCTTTTAATTACCAAAAGTGTCCTTGTGATTAAGAACAAAATTCCCTCTCTCTTAGCCAATAAGCATTCAGTAATTTTGCCCCGCGCGTGATAAATTATGTAAATGTGAGAAAAATGTTGACAGATTACTTTTGATCATGTAGGCTGCTGCAGTATAATGAAATCTTTTCTAATACCCCAGAAGTATCAGTGGGTACTGGCCAACTGTCAGGGAAGCCTGATGAT